CCCCAAAACCCCAAAACCCCAAAACCCCAAGATCAAATATAAGAATAGAGGGAAATAAATATTAAATATGAAGCTTACAAACATTATTATTAGGGAGATCCTCCTCTTTCTTGAATTCGAGGACTTAGCAGACAACAGACTCGAACTTATCAGCAAGAAGTTCTATCACAATATCATGTAGGCACTTCTCTCAAATGGTTAGGCTAATTTTGAGCAGCACATATATGCTCAGGATACTGTCAGATATGTACAAAGATTTACCTATGATGTCTGAGGGGAATCTAACCATGACTACTTACAATCCACTTTCGAGAATACTTTACCAATGTTTATAGGGAAGACAATGAGTTGCTCAGAAGAATGCTAGACAACTGTTTGGGCATGATCAAAGACTATCAGAGAGAACAAGAGTACCAAGATTCAATATTAGACAATAGAAATGCAACAAATGGAGAACACATTTCAGATGATACCAAAAAGTAAAAATTTGCAGCTAGCTTTAGAATTAAAAGAAAATACATGAAGATTTATGACGATTCTAGTTCAAATAGTATCAGGCTTTTCAAAAGTTTATCTAAAAGAAAAAGAAAACTACTTACCATGTGTGAAAGGTAATTTTTACGAGTTTCTTCATAATCTTTTTAATGAAATTTGCTTATTATAAATTTGACTCGTAATTCATTCATCCATAATAAGTCCTTTAAAATTTCATCATGTACCATGTTGTTTCTTCTATCTCGTACTTGTATGCCCAATACATAGCTCAGCTTGATAAATATTGCTTCAGATCAACTGCAGGGCATCAGCTCGGCAAAAATAACATATCTGATATCTTCCAAGGAACTGGAAATAATTATAACACTTGTCCTGAAATCTATTATCCGAATGGATTAATGTGAATTACTCTTTTCCCTTACGCTCCAGATCAATATAATCGGAATGGGGGTAAAAATAGAGCCCTGCAAGCAGAACAGCTTGCTAAAATTTATAAAGTAAAGAGAATTGATGTTCCCAGAGGCACTTTGTTTAAGTAATTCACCTACTAACAGCCTTGTACAACTTTTGAGCTATTGAAAAGGAAGCAATCTTATAAAGGAGCATTAAAGTCAAACCCCTAAATATCTTGTAGAGAGAATAATACTTCTAGAACTATGAATGGTCGGAAGCATTGTGCTATTGAGAAGCCTGGCTTCATTCAAAATTTATTTTAATGAAGAAAATATTCTCAGACTAGGATTATAAAGTTTATCATCAATTTAAAAGAAATACGATGGCATAAATTGTCATTGATGATGTAATCTATGTATTATAGGTCCTACCAAGATTCTTCTGGTGAAGTAAAGTAAGGGAGGTTGCAATTTCCTTTAAATACATTTTCAAACACTTTTTAGATACTATTTCTTAATTTTTAGGAGAAATTCAATGATAACTTATCATCTCGAAGATCCTTACAGAGAGTTTGAGGATCAATCTTATAGAAATCCCTGACTCATTGTTCATGAAAAGGGTAATGCTGGCAGCTCAGAGGAACATTATGGAACTGTAAATATCTCTTCATTTCATAGTTTAGGACCACACAAAGATTATTGAATTTGATACTACAATTCAGAGAGAAATTGCAAGAGACCAGCTGTTCATGTTGAGAGAAGTTCATGTATTCTATTATTTGACATTAAGATTTCTCCGGTTGATAACTGTACTTGCAGCATTAAAGCTTTTGCAGTTTTTGTTCACGATTATCCAGTTGTTGCAGAAAATCATCCTTTGACAATCATTGTCAAGGTATTGTACGACTCCCTTGGATGGAATGGCGAAAGACCCATAGAATATATCAGAGAAGAATCTATTGAAGGTAAGTCATTAATTTAACTAATACCAATTTTATCATAAATCCAGAGAAAACCCAAGAGTCAAATATCCACCCAAAAGAAGAGTTTTTATACAAAAGAGGCATTCTTAAAGGAACACCTGCTGAAGATATTTATAATGTTTACAATAATGTTAGCAATGATAGGATTATTCCTAGGATTTCAGAAATTAATGACAACTCTCTGGAATTTTCACAGAAGTTTTACAATGAAAAGTTTAGTTTGAATATTAGTGGTAAGCCAACACCTGACCTTCACAGAGGAATTCAAGATGGATGTTGACAGAATCATCTCCAAGCTGCCAAAGTCATCAGAGTACTTGCCAGTGATGGAGTCTTTGGACATGACTCAGGTGATTGAGGACTTCAATTACAGATTAGCTGCTATTGCGTTCAACTTAGATGTAATTTCTTTAATTTTAATAGATTAGACTGGAACTCAAGAATTTAAAATCATGATGCCTCCAAACACTTATGGAAGATACATAACTATCCTTGGTAGTTCTCTCTCTCATCTCTAGGACTGGACACTCACAGATTATATGAAGAACATTCCAACTATGACATCGGCCAGTTAATCTTCAGTGGGTTCCAAATCCCCAGTTGTCTTACCCTTGAAAAATAAAGCTTTTGTCTGTTTGAAATTCCTGAATTCAACGATTACTAATTCCTAAGGGGTTTTGGGGTTTTGGGGTTTTGGGG